TGGGGCATCCCCAAAGCGCAGTGAGGTGCACATTTGGCAATGTGGTGGGAGGGCCACAGCCTGGGACTGACCGGAGGCAGGAGGTAGCACCTTGGTGTTTAAAGAGGCAAAATGTGGGAGAGCTTGGCTCCAAGAGCCGTGAAAGCAAAACGAGAAGAGTCCGTGGAATGTGACAGAGAAGGGACAAAGAGGACGTGAGGATGTTCTACCTTTGTTGGAGGGCATGAAATCCTTGGCCTTGTCATTGCAATAGTGGAGGCAGCAGGACAGAATCAGGTCGTCATTGTTTCCCTGGAAGAAAAGTGCAAGGTTACCCTTGGCAGAAAAAAAAACCCTACAACCCCACCACCCCAACTTCTGCACTGCCTTGAGCCACTCTGCCGCAGCTCAGTGGAGAGCAGGGCTGTCCCGAGCCAAAACACACTCACCCCGCAGGAGCCTGCTCAGCCGCCTGCAAAGGTGGGGACAGAGCTACCCCCTGCCCAGAGCTCACGGACCCCAGGGTCCCTGGTTTCCCCCAAGGAGGTGGTGGCAAAGAGCCTCCAGCCCTCAGCAGCACTGCCGCCGCACTCGGGATGCCCCTTACCTGCTGGCCAGTGGTGTCTTCACTGCGGAAGGAGATGGACTCCAGCTCGTTGCCTCGGCTGGTCAGAGCCCTCAAGCAGTTGTCCCGGCTTTCGAAACGCTCCTCCAGGAACTCGATGGACTTCCTGGCTCTCTCCTGCACTTGGCGGGCATAGCCTGCAGCCCGGTGCTCCATCTCCGGGCCCTTGGCCAGGCCATCCAGCTCGTTTATCACTTCAAACAGGAAGAGGAGGTACAGTTACTATGGGACAAGGTGCTCCTGTGACCTGCTGCTGGAGCACGCAAGTTGCCAAGGCCTCGGGGCTGGGGCACTGGGAGCTGGCTCAGGAAATCTGGGTTCAGCTGCCGCAGTGTCCCTGCGCTCCTGAACTTGGCTGCGGGTCTGGAAAAACTTTGCTGCCTTCTACCTCCGAGGGTCATCAGGCTGAGCCCTGAGAGCGCAGGCACCTCGCCCCTGCAGTGTGGGGTAACGCTCCCTAAGGGCCCCTCGCTCTGCCCTGCGAAACACTGGGAGTATCACGGTGCCCCCCACCCCATCCTCCTGCATCACGACCAACATCTGTGCACGTCCGAGGGTGTCAGAAAACCGCGGCCTCTTGCAGCCCGCTCCTCTGCCTCCCAGGGTAACGACAGCCGCTAGCACACTGCCCCCCG